TGGATCACTTGGGTTCTTACCGACATCTGGTGAAAATGTCATGTCATTAGCTCCTCTAGTAATATATTTACTGAGAAAAATGTTGACATGTTCAATACTTATTTTACCCGCTGTGTATTTTAACTGTAAAATAATGACTGTAAAAATACTGTGGGCTGTGTAGTTTTGTATTTTTTTAAATATTTTTTAACATGGATGGAGCCATTTTTTTACACACAAAGCATTCTGGGTAAATGATGACATGGATAGGTCCTCGGTGTGAGCAAGCTACAGTTAGGTCCATATATATTTGGACACTGACAAAAATTTTGTCTTTGTACTGAAACATATTCAAGTTATAGTTGTATAATGTACATGGACATAAAGTCCAGACATTCAGCTTTCATTTGAGGGTATCCACATTAAAATTAGATGAAGGGTTTTGGAGTTTCAGCTCCTTAACAAGTGCCACCCTGATTTAAAGGTAACAAAAGTAATTAGACAATTGACTCCAAGGCTATTTCATGGACAGGTGTGGGCAATCCCTTCGTTATGTCATTCTCAAAAGGTCTGGAGTTGATTTTAGGTGTGGTGCTTGCATTTGGAAGGTTTTGCTGTGAAGTAAATATGCAGTCAAAGGAGCTCTCCATGCAGGTGAAACAAGACATCCTTAAGCTGCAAAAACAGGGAAAAAACCATCAGAGAAATTGCTAAAATATTAGGAGTGCAAAATCTACAATTTGATACATCCTGAGAAAGAAAGAAAGAAAGCACTGGTGAACTCATCAATGCAAAAAGACCTGGGTGCCCACAGAAGACAACAGTGGTGAATGATCACAGAATAACCTTCATGGTGAAAAGAAACCGCTTCACAACAGCCAACCAAGTGAACAACACTCTCCAGGAGGTAGAAGTATCAATATCCAAATCTACCATAAAGAGAAGACTGCATGAATGTAAATACAGAGGGTTCACTGCACGATGCAAGCCACTCATAAGCATCAAGAATAAAAAGGCTAGACTGGACTTTGCTAAAAAAAATCTAAAAWAKCCAGCAGAGTTCTRGAAGAACWTTCTTTGGACAAATGAAACTAAGATCAACCTCTACCAGAATGATGGAAAGAGAAAAGTATGGTGAAGGTGTGGTACAGCTCATGATCCAAAGCACCACATCATCTGTAAAACACAGCAGATCAGTGTGATGGCTTGGGCATGCATGGCTGCCATGTGGCACTGGGTCACTAGTGTTTATTGATGATGTGACKCAGGACAGAAGCAGCTGAATGAATTCTGAGGTATTCAGAGCCATACTGTGTGCTCAGATCCAGCCAAATGCAGCCAAACTGATTGGTTGCTGTTTCATACTACAGATGGTCAGTGACCCAAAACATAAATCCTAAGCAACCCAGGAGTTAATTAAAGCAAAGAAGTGGAATATTCTGGCCAAGTCAAGTCACCTGATCTCAACCCAATTGAGCATGCATTTCACTTGTTAAAGACTAAACTTCAGACAGAAAGGCCCACAAACAAACAGCAACTGAAAACTGCTGCAGTGAAGGCATGGCAGAGCATTAAAAAGGAGGAAACACAGYGTCTGGTGATGTCCATGAGTTCAAGACTTCAGGCAGTCATTGCCAACAAAGGGTAAAACTAGAAATGAACATTTTATTTACAATTATTTAATCTGTACAATTACTTTTGAGCCTCTGAAATGAATGGATTGTGTTTAAAAGATGCTTTAGTTCCTCACATTTTTACRCAATCATTTTGTTCAACCCACTGAATTAAAGCTGGGAGTCTGAACTTCAACTGCATCTGAATTTTTTTGATTGATTTTTCAGGAAAAATCCACAATTATATTACTGTGTTCACAGTAAAATAAAAACAGTGATTTACATAAAAACACAATGAAAACATCGTAATCAAATTCTCTGTGATTTTTTATACCATTGCAAATCGCTAAGGCACGATAAGAGAAAAGAAGTGGTACCACTTTTCCTGTGACAGTCATTATCATGATTTAACAAATGCATAAACATTCTTAGTTAAACAACAAATGAATCACAAACAGAAGAGATTGTTTCGTCCATTATCTGATTACGAGAACTGAGGGGTTCTCTTCCACGGTTAGAATGACCTATCATGACCTAAWTAGAGTTCAGTTTGTGACAGAGATCCTGTCCTCTCGTCAGGCCTGTCCGAGGCCTGCTTTGAGGCAGTAAATCTTGTTTCTTCACTCGAGGTGACCCCTACATAGATATTCTGCATTTTCTTGATCCTTCTGGCAGGTGCTATAAAGTCATAATTTTTACATAAACTAACAAATAATATACAGAGTTTGTTTTTATATTTTATGTCTTTAATTAATGTTAAACTGCTCTGTTCAAAGTTTAGGAGAGCTCATTAAAAGAACAGAAATACATATAAATTAGTATTTTACTGCATATTTTTTGTTTGGTAATTATTCTATTTTAATAAAACATTCTTACTGCTTCTTTTGCATTTAATTTTAATTTGATGATCAATCTGATTTTTCAAAAATAATACACCTAAAATGCCAAGAACTTTTATGTTCTATTGTGTCGAAGTCTTCCATTGTTAAACACACAAGATGACGTTATCAAAGAARATGAAATATTCAGGTGTTTAGCTGTCATAACTATATTTTTATCTAGTGTTGTATAAAGTACCGCAAAGTGATACTTGAATAAAAGGACAAGTATCTTATCAAAAAAAATGCTTTGGTAAAAGTTAAAGTCTCCTTTAGAGTTATTACTTGAGTAAAAGCCCTTAAGTATCTGATATTTTTTGTACTTAAATATTAAAAGTAAAAGTATTGATTTAAAATGAGCAGTTAGATTTTACATAATGACATTTATTAGGAGATGACCTTTCTCCAAAAAGTTCTGACATGACTATATTGTATTAAAATAATTAATTTATGTTAAATTTAGGATGCACTAGTCTAGCTGTTTCAGTTTATCAAGGGTGCTCAAACCTTTCTCCAAAATGAAAATCAACCTGAAGGCTGTGACCAAATGCAATAATATAATTCATGAAATACAAATACTTCTTAAGTACCGGCCTTTTCTTTTAATGATTATGTCCTGCAGTAGTGTGACATGATTTGTTTGTGTACAAACTAATACAATATCATAATTTTATATATTTATACTTCTCATTCAACCACAATTAATTTCACTCTGTCTAGGAGGCACAATTTATATGGATGGGAGACCGGGGACAGTTACAACACTTTTTACATTTGACTCTGTTACTCAGAGATGGTTTGAATTAGACAAACCAAATTTTATTACAATAAACTTACATCTGTCTGTTAATAGTCAAAACCATTTATAGATGATTAAAGAATGTGCATTCTTCACAATTTGCATTTGAAAATGAAAAGTCAGTTGTTGCAACTGACCCCGGGGATGGGGACAGTTGCAACATTGTTTGGGGGTGGTTGCAGCATGTTATACAATATATTTCACTGTAAATAAAAGTTTTATTATTTTTATATTTGTATTATTGCAAAATTTATAAAAAACTGTTAAGTTATAATATTACAGTTTTATTTATTTGTAGTTTTTGATCAAATGACATATATAGATTTCCTTTGATGTGTGGACCTTATATACAGATGTCAAAGACTCAAACTGATATAAAATACAGTTGGCTTTTAGAAACAAGAATAATAGAACGATTTGTGAGGCAATTAACTTTTGTTTTGCCTATTGTCAGTGTACACCTACATTATGCAAAATTTACATTGAAAGAAACTGGGATTTTAAAACCACTGTGGAAAACAACAACTGCAGAAAAYACATCTGAAACACTTTTGTTTTAAACTATAAAATTGTCATGAATACCCAATACTCTTTTAAGTGTAAACTTAATTTCAACATCTTAATATTGTCTGTTTGTGCTTTGTTTTTATATGGATTTATCGTATGGGGACAGCTGCAACARYTGTTGCAACTGTCCCCCTTCCTGTCAGCCATGATAAAACCTCATGTKTTAGCTAAATAAGCTGATCTTGATACATGTTAACTATATTAGTTGAAAGTCAACACATCACTTGTTTAAACCATATAAGTTTGAGCTGATCACAAAAACAGTGACAACAGTATAACAAAAATAAAGCTAGGAAAACAATACTTTGGTACCTCAAAAACAGTTTATTTCAAATAAATCCTGGAGCAGTTTTTGAATCTGCTTACTTTTTCTTTGCAAGGTGGGGCATCTAACATGTGCAGTGTGTCACTGTTTGGAGGAAAAATGACTTGTTGCAACTGTCCCTTGTTGTTTCTGTCCCCAGTCTCAGTATTTTTTAAATAATAACAAGCTGGAGTGAAAACAAGCAAAAATGAAATGAAAGTAATGACTTTCTACTTTTTGCCATTTTTAAAAATGTAAGGGGTAGAAAGTACAGAAAATTGTGTGAAAATGTAAGAAGTAGAAGTAGGCTGAAAAATCATTACTCAAGTAAAGTACAGCACTCAAAAATTCTACTTAAGTACAGTAACAAAGTATTTGTACTTAGTTACTTTACAACTCTGCTTAATCAATTTTCAGCACTGGATCAGAATAAATAGTCTACATGTCATACCTCTGTTTGACCAAACCGTGGAGCCGTTTATCAAYCATTTATCTCAGGTATTTCCTTCACAAAAAAAATCTAACAGGGTTAAACTTTTATAGTGGGAACTAATAAATGTTCATCGCATGCTGCTGTAAAAACAAAAACGCACATTAGTTGGTGCACGCACGCACGCATATTAAACACTTTAGTGTTAGATTACTGCATGTAATAAGCCTTTCATGCCAGAGTTTTATACCAAGGTTGTCGTATTTTCAGTCAAACTTTTGTMTGGGTTGTTCTGTAGGGAAATCAAAACTTGTATTTAAGTGTTTGCATGCATGCTCAGTTAATAAATATATTATTATAATGATATTTAAAAAAAAGACTAACTACAGATCATTTGTACTGCTCTAAATTCTTTGCTGTATATTCTTTTAACACCCCTCAAATTTTGCATTTACTGACAAACTGTTGTACAAAATACGTGACTTTTTATTTAATGGTTTCCCTGGCTTTAATAYTGAGCCTTTCTGAAACCTGTCTCTGTGACCAACAGAAGTTAAGAAATGTAATTACGTTTAAACTTGGTGTTACAGGTTCTTCGTTTGATCGAGATCTTCAGGTGAGCTACAATCATGAAGACGATCGGCTGCAGGGCTCCCAACAACTGAACACAAAACACACCTGCTGTCCATCTTCACATCATGCAACACATCCTTCAACCAAAWACACATCTGCGGAAGCACGTGCGTATTAACGATTTGTTTATTTTTAAAAGTATAACTGACATGTTACACTCACCTTTGTGTTTCTTCGTACATCAGGTGCGAGCCGTCATGTCTGTGACGACAGCTGGGAGGAGATCCAAAGCTGGGAGACCATCAGAGCAGAGAACGAGGTGGAGGCCARTAAACTGGTCAACAACTGCAGGGTATGGAGTCCGGCGGCTGCTGATTACAGTCGGTGGAGTTCAGAAGAGCGTTAAATTTTAACTCTGCGTGGGGGATTCAGTTTGGTTTCAGAAAATGGAAGAGCCACGTGACAGAGCGACCGTTTGGAGACCGCTCAGAAGTTGTGAAAGAGCTGTACTCTGAGYTAAACATCATGAAACCACACTCAGGTCCAGGTACAGGTTACTGATCTCTGTGCTGATTTTTCATTAATGATTATCAAACCTCATATTCTAAGATCCAAATCTGAACAATAAACAAAGCCTTTTAAAGGGGACATATCACTCAAAATCCACTTTTTAGCTTTTAATACGTCTTTTGGCCTCATTTGACTTGTTTTTATTGTTCTCAAACTAAARTAATAGCAGTTGCATTAATCATTACAAGGTTATATTGACACACCAAAAACATTTAAGGTATATTTTGTAATAAAACCTACTCTTAAAAGTTTGTAAAATTGTCCTAGTTATGTAAAACGTCTCTAAAATTTAGCTTTGTAAAGCAGTAATATTAAGACTTTAGCTGATGAGAGATTTCTTCTGTCTGTTTCCAGGTCGGTTCATCACATGTGGAAATGTTGTGTATGTGCTCCTGTTTGGCTGGTGGGYGTCTTTGGCTTATTTTGTCATCGGCATTCTGATGTTCATCACCGTTATCGGGGTTCYCTACTGTAGGTGAGCCGGTCAGTAGGGGCAAAATGTTAAAGCACTTTCTCTGAACCTTTTTCCTCAACTCTTTCCTGTTTCTCTGTTTTCAGGTAAACTTCTCTGGAAGTTGTGCTGCTACTTCCTCTGGCCGTTTGGCAACACGATCCGTCGAGGTACGGTATGGGCTTATTTTGGAATGCATTTCCTGTTTGTACTTTATGTTTCTGCTAACGGAAGCATGATTAATTTGTGGTCAATTGTGTTTAATGCACCAACTTGTGGTGAAGAAATAAGGAAGTTCATTTTTTTTCTTGAACAACACAAGTTTAAATTGCAGCTCATTAGTGCAGAAACTGAAGACACTGCTGATGATTGAAGTGAAGACTTAAAGTGACAAGCATATTCTTCAAATACAAAAAGTCAAAGAAAACATCTTAATATTTAAGAAAGTTGGAATTAATCACACGATTTAACACATTTTGTCCCATAACTGGCATATTTTCTTTTGAACTTGGCCCAGCCAAAGTKAAACAGGAAGTGACATCAAAGGGGAACTCTAACGAAGAAAACTGTCTGTTCTTTGTTTATTGAAACAATATTATTTGAACTCTGACTCTTCTTCATCTCTCTCTGATAGAGACTCAAAATAATCTTAAGAAACATCAGATTCTTCTCTACAGKCTGGGTTTTTAGTCATTTTAGCAACGCTCTGTTCACATGCAGACATTCCCCTTTGACATCACTTCCTGTTACTTCACAGGCAAATATCTCAACAACTGCTCATCTCAGCGACATCAAATTTCTTTTGCAATATTTTATCAATGTCCTTTTTTTAAAAATGCATTCGTATGCATTACAAAAGGTTGACGTCACAGACACTTTAAAGACATAACATCTGTCGAAATACAGGGTTGTTGAATTTTTAACAGTTTCTACATTATTAAATGATTGTGGGTTATTATAACACAAAACCATCAGGGTTTTTATAAAAAATTGCATTAGAAAACAGTAATATTCCTCGTTTCCAACTAAATTCGGCATTGGTTAAGGATATTCTCCCATCGGAGGCTGGAATATCTGGACTCAGCTCATTTCATATGATGTTAGGGTTTAACGCTCTCCACTGCTCGACTGTGAACAAATGACTCGTAATTGTTGGCAACAAAACTGGACTTTTGACCTGTTTTTTTTAATCTAATATTATTTTTCTGTAAGACGTTTGAGAAATATGTGTTGCTGATTATGAAGATTGTGAAGRTCCTGTAGTTTTATATCACGTAGGAACATTTTTCAAAAATATTGAGGCAACTGCTGTGTTTTATTTATTTATTTATTTGTTGTTTTCCAGATAGGAAGCACTTWGAGGAGGTGTTGTGAGGAAGCAGCGGACTGTGAGTGCAGAATAGAGTCAGGAGATAACTCACCCGTCCTGCTGCATCTCCCACAGAGGCAGCAGCTCCAGAGAGACCAGGACAACCTCTCCGGACCCCCTACTGGGTAAAAATTGCAGCCTAGCCCTGTAGTGCCTACTCGCCAAACCTGTTTGTGTATTATTGAACATACGGCATAAATTTCCCTACCCCCCTATTTTTATTTCCAGCTCCATTTTTCGTACTCTGATTTGTACAGTCTTAAATACATAATACTCATCTCTAGTTGTGCTCTGCCTCCAAGCTGTTTCTGAGTTRGAATTTAGAATTTATCCTTCTTGTTTTGATGTTTTTTATTATGTTGTTTACATTTTATTATGTTTTTCTGCTATTATCTATTGTTGATGATTGTACAGCACCTTGTGAATATATTTCTATGAAAGGCGCTTTATTAATAAAACTTTACTTACTTAAAAGTCCAGAGTCTCAGAGTACGCCTACAATTTTGAGTATTTGTTGTGGATCTGAGAACAGATAATTAACGAGCCTGTTTGTGACATTTTTGTGATATTTACTCGTGTTTGTGATCCACTGAGCTCTCTCCCCATCGKTGCGTAGCGTCGTTTCTCCACCTACGTGTGGCTGCTGCTGGGATATCCCACCCTGGTCATCGTTCACGCTCTGGCCTGCGTCATCTCGTGGATCTTGGTCTTCACCWTCCCAGTCTCCAAGATGAACGCTCAGACTCTGAGCGTCTTTGTCCTCCTGCCTCCCGAGGACGTCTCCATCTCCACGAGCTCACACAGAAAGGTGCAGGTGTTGAACTGGAGTGTTTCCCACCACAGCAWGAAGGCAGATTCACTGATTACGTATCTTTTTAATTGAACTTCAGCATCAAGGCTTTGAGACCAGAGCGCTGCTGTGCTGCTACCACGCTGCGAACTGGTACTACCACAAGTACACTGTTGATGGGATCAATGTAYTTGCTGTCAGTATCCTTTGTCAGAGCGGAGTGTTTGTACGGGTCACACCTGTCAGGATCTTTGACTCGTCCTTCACACCTCCTYCCTCTTSTTATAGTYGCTCTGGTAATTGRATATGTTGACAAAGAAAACCAGTTTGCCAGTTCTGATGTCAAGTTCACCGTCGCGATCAGCTCCAACATACCTCTCTCGTATTATATCGGTATGGGCATCGCCAGGTAAGACGTTGTTTACACACCTGTAGTAACAAAAAGACGAAGCAAACTGTCCTTCAGGTCAGCTCTGATGTTGATTCTTCATCTTTGTCCTCAGYATTTCTGCACAGAGTAACTTTGCCGTTGGCGCCGTGGTCAACGCCACCTTTGGCTCCGTCACAGAGCTGACCTTTTACATCACGGCCTTGCTCAGAGGTCAGCGGGACGCCGACCCCTGTCTGCAGGAGGTCGTTAAGGCGGCGCTGACCGGCACATTGCTCGGCTGCATCCTCTTCATCCCCGTGAGCTCGTTGACAGCAGATCTTCGGATTTTCTTTTATTTCGGTGTTTGTTTTGTTTACCGTCCGTATCGACGCATTTGAGTAGGGTTTTGCCTTTTTCAGTGCGTCTGCATGATTATTGGAGGTCTGAAACACAACGAGCAGCGATTCAACAGCCGCTCTGCAGGAGTGAGCTCGGCGCTGCTTTTCATCTCTGTGGGAGGCGAGTTTTCTGWAACCAACATAACTTTTTTTCACCGTATTTTGAGAGAGTTAACAGGTTTAAGACAAGATATGTTGATGGCTCCAAATGGTGTTAACGTGACTACAGAATCAGTTGTTTCTCCTGTTTCTTCAGAAAATTGTTTTGTTTTTTGTCGCTCACAGGCGTATTCGCCCCCACACTTTTCTCCAAGGCGTACGGAGACCTGGTGTGTGATTCGTGCACACAAGGAAATGGCACGAGCAGCGACAGCAGGCCGTTTGTGTGCCACAACTGCCAATACGATCTGGCCATTAGAGAGGAGGAGCTCTGAAACAGGCTCAGGCCCACGTGCACCTGGCTGTGATTAATGCCGACTTTGTTTTTGTTTTTAGCAACAGAAAAACAGAACTCTGTTCCAMGACCACGTCGAGTGAGTTTTGTTTTTTTCTCTGAGTTATAAGTTTTGTAAAGTGAGACTGAATCTTTGTTTTACGCAGACAGAAAGACAAAATAAAACCCGACCTTCAAAGAAAACACTCTGACAGTAATTCACGCCTCACCACCCGGCTTCCTTTACATTTCAGGATCCATTATAAAATGCTTTGATTTGTTCTAAAKTCTTGCCTCATCCTACCTTTATGAACTGCTGCATCTCTAATTTAGATCAGGGGACCAGCTCTTCCTGAGTGTCGCTAAAACGGGACTCGGGSTCTGGGGGGGTTGTAGTTTTTGCTGCTGCAGCAACTTCTAAGCTGTGGAAGCAGCTGCCCTTCCATCTTTCACAGCCCTCTTTGTCTGTTTTTAACACCGACTAGTTGTAAGATTAGACATTATTTGATATCATTTTCTTCAACTATAAAAAACAAAGACTGTAACAATACAGTACGCTGTTTTGGTTTTATTAATTAAAAAATACATTGTCACACAGCAAAGTATTCTGGGTAAATGATGACGCTAATCTGCTAAACATCATGTTTGATACTTTGCAAACCATACCGAGCAGAACCGAGCAATTAATAWAAAAAATAACTTTGTCACACGTTACAGATTTTTAGCCTCGACTTATTCTGCTTTAGTCTCAACTGTAGCTTATCATCATCTTCCCCAGAATGCACTGTGTCAGGAACAAAATGCTGACATGCTTAARTAAAAAATGTAACAAACATTCAATTTTTTTTAAATAAACAGATGTTTCACAAAAAACAACTTTTAGTAGCTGAGAGAAATATGTTAAGGCCAACGTGTGCAAACAGTCTGAGATCCCTTTAAAACTCTTTAAGAGTTAGTTTTATGACATTTTCAGCTGATTTTTACTTTTATATTTTAAAGTTTGATATGATTTTATGTACTTAACTGTTTTTATTACATAGTTTTGATTTATTTGTGTTTTAATTGAAATTTTTTTCTTGCGTTTGTTTTATTGTGGACTCTGTGCAGCACTTTGGTCCTCTGTGGTGTTTTAACGCTACACATAAAGTTGGATTAGATTAGATGAATACTTTTGTGGCAGCAGGTGATAACTAGTCTTAAAAGTGTGAATGGATCCAGTAAAGTCACATTGTGGTTTTGCTGGTTAAGTATGTAAAATAAGACTGTGTGTTTTTGTTAGGCCTCTGGTGTACACGGTGTCGGCCCTCCTGCCTGCCGCCTACATCATCGGTCTGATATTTACTCTGAAAACACACTCCTACATCTACAACTTCCACGTCGGAGATGGGCAGGGTATTGTTCAGGCACTTTAACAGCTGTTTTTAATTTTTTTAATTATACAATGAACTCTGAAGGTACAGTTGTCATTGTTACGGTGTTTATCTCTGTGCAGCGCCTGGTCCTCATGGGACAGTTGTCCACTGGTCGTGGTGGAGGTCTCTGCTCATCCTCGTCTGGGCCACCGTGCTCACGTCTGCGTGCGTGGACCTTGCGACCGAACACATCCAGCCGATACTCAGCCAGCCCAGCGTATCTCAGGTCTGCGTGTCCTTCTGAGCGTGCTCAGYTTGCAATCCCCTCCAGCCGCGTAATCCTCCTGCTTCTTCCTCTAGTATTTCATAGGGGTGACGGTTCTAGCGATGGTCCCAGAGATCCCAGAGAYTGTTAATGGGATTCAGTTTGCCCTCCAGAACAACATCAGTCTGAGGTAACTGCTGTCTTGACTAAATATAAAATTTAAAATCTATTTTTGTATCTTTAAGTACACTTTTTGTTTCAGCTTGGAGGTTGTATTGCTGTGTAGGTCTGCATGCTACAGATACCGATCCTGGTCCTGTTTAATGCCTTCTGTGTGAGACCTCCCTCTTACTTTTCATGCTCAGCTTTCTCCATTAATACAAAATAAAATGAAGTTTTATAGTTGACAGTTTTTGTTCTTTCAGGATGTGGGCTTTGTGCTCGTGTTCACAGACCAGCACTTGTGGGCCAGTATTTTCAGCGTCATTCTAGTCAACTACATCTTCATGGATGACAAGTCTGATTATTTTCAGGGTGAGTTCAGAGCATTTAAAGGTGAAATTACTATAATAGAGTTAATTACTTTAGATTTAGTGGATAACTGTGTAAATCTAAAAACTAAAGCAACAATCAAACCAAAGCTGGTCATTTATTTGAACAATTAATTTAAATTATTTTTTATATGTTCTTAAAATGGGTTGGATGTAACTCAGCAAAGCACTCCCTAAATACTCCTGACCGTTTATAATCCCTGCAGCTTGATTTACAAACAGGATCTGCATAAACAAAAATCAACGGCTGCCTTGAAAGAAATGCTAAGGCTAGTTTGTAAAAACGTTTCAGCATCATCAGCTGGATGAATAAGATCCTGACAAAATTATGCTAGAAAATCCAGTATTTATCCACCTTTAAGCCACCTCGCCCCATCATTAGTTTATTTATTTATTTATTTATTTATTTTAGCATTCCTCAACTTTCCCAATCGTTTTTGCTCGTGTCCCAGCATTTTTGGGACGTGTTTCAGAAATCAAATTCAAAATGAGTGAATACATTTTACATAATGGGGCAGAGATGATTTTTTTCTTCTTTCTGCTACCTTTCATTTAATTTGATTTGTATTTTTTGTATGTGAATTTTTGTTTTTTAAATTAAATGAATAAACTACACTATATAAATGTGCAAAAAAACAATGTTTATCTATTTAAACATTAAAAATCTTGACTTTGTAGTCTATTCAGTTGAATATAGGTTGAAAATGATTTGCAAAYTGTATTCAGTTTTTGTTTCGTCTCATTTTCATTTGAATTGTAGGTTCAATACCTCTGCTTGTCTGCTTCCAAGTTTCCTTTAATCTAGGAATCTGTAAGAAAGCAGATTTAGTGACGGGGTTCTGCGAACTGTTAAACACCTCCAGTTGTTCAGTTATTTCTCAGCACCTTGCTCTCCACAGACACAGCTCTGGTGGTGGTTTACCTCATCCTCCTGGCTCTGTATTACTTCGCTCCGTCTCCGACCGGCTGTTAGGATCAAAACTGACCATCGGATCAAAACTGACCATCGGATCAAAACTGACCATCGGATCAAAACTGACCATCGGATCAAAGCTTGCACTTTTTTAAGCCTGAAGGACTTTGAATGATCAAATTCAGTCTGTTGGTGACCTGTGATAGAAACAGTGACGATGATTTCTGCACAGTCTGTTTTATGTTTTTTATTTTAACGGAGGTTTTTAATCTCAGGTAGGTACATCTTTCACTGCACTGTAATGACTGATGAATACAGATGTTAACTTATTTAGACTCATATCTTTTTAACTTGTGAAGATAAAAGCTGTTTTTTTTAACGGTACAAATTAACGTAAACCTATAGTAACATTTCTCTGAACTATTGGGATAATGTTTGTGTACATGAGGTGAAAAATGTGAGAAATGAGCTGCTCTTCCTATCTGAAAACTGATGTTTGAGAAGAAAAATTATTTTCAAAAAACACGTGCTTGTTTTGTTTTTATTTAGCTTTTGTACAGACAAAAACTGACCAAGCATCGTACYCATTTTTAACCTTAGGGACACATTCACTTCTTTCACAGAGATTCTGTGTAGTTTCATGCAAAACCACATTTACATGCAGAAGATTTTAGCTTCCATCATCAGAAGTGATGCAAATCTGTAGACGATAATTTCAACTCCGGTACTAAGTTTGATAAGCAGTGGGCTGCTCAAAAAAACATAAATATGTCTGAGAACATGATGTTCATGTTTGAGAATGATGAGGTSAAGGGAAAGTGTACCGACACATTTACATGAAACAAAGTTCAACAAATAAAGGCAACAGGACCGGATTTAAAGTTTAAATGTACAGTACATGGAAAAGAACTGCTGGTGTCTCATATTTAGATTAAAAAAAACATCTCATAGTATTTACCACCACTTGCAACTCTAACAAGTACCAAAACTTGAGAACTACAACCTCTAGAAAAATGTATAAGTTTTTTTTACAATGTAAAAATGACAATGATAGCAGGGATAATATTGAAAAACAACAGCTACACGTTGAAGTACATTTTCAAAGTTTGTCATAAATCAGCACAGTGTTTGAAATAAATAAAATCTGTGAGTTTTGAGTTAATGCACAGTCTGCAGGAACATCAGCTGAAACGTCTAAAGGCTCAAGTGAAGAGCACCGCATAGACCACTGAGTCGTAAACACTTAAAAAATGGTTTAAAGAAATGTTTCGGGAGGTCAGAAGGCACCAAAGAAATCATTTCAATAAATAAGTATAATCGGGTTGAAAATCACTGTGGAACCACAAATTTGAAGTGAAGGGGAACGACTGTAGAGGCACAGGAACTTCACAGTGATGTCGTGTCTAAAACAATAAAACGCATCAGTGAGAGGRACGGCCGATAAAGCTAATTATCTTTCATGCTTTTTTATGAGAATCTTCTAATTGTAAAGACAGACCACCAGATTCACTAGTTTTAAATTCCAGCATTTAAAAATAACTCCTGCAGCGAGGTTCAGCAACAGTGAAATAAACACTTCATGAGTCAAAACTACACCATCAGAAGTCATTTTCTCTTCCAACGGGGGATCTTTCATATAGTTTCACGCTCCACAGGTTCCTCTGGCAAAAAAGAAGCAGTTTTTTTAAATAGGTATCGAGTGCATAGAGGTTGAAATTAGCACAGTTTGCTGTACTCTCTGAAGGAAAATCTGACAAACTCCAAATAATGCACTTAAAGAAACAACTCTAAAGTATTTTCATAAGACATGGGTTTTTTTTTCTATTTACCGCTGAGATCATGAGTGTTGCTTTAGTTTATTCAGTCCTGGTGTTGAGTCTATTTGAGYCTCTGGATTAATGAGTGAGTGAGTCCGAGGCTGAGCAGCTGCAGGGTGGACAGCTGCGTTAAATGAGGAAATGTTTTCAGCAGTTTCTCCCAGGTCATTTCCAGCAGACTGGGAACCACCAGCCACACTTTGTACAGAGAGGCGGTCCGTCGGTTTCCGGACATGTTGACCACGCCGCCGTGGACGTACATACAACCCGCCTGAGAGAGAGGGGGAAAGAAAGATCTGTCTGGTCCAAGGTAAACAAAAATATAAAACRACGGTTTCTGCTGGGTTACTAGTACTTTTATGGATTTCTTTTTAACRACATTTTACTGACCGGAGTGACGGCAGCACAGTGAAAGTAGGCCGGTTCTGGCATGACGGCCGGGAGCTTCGTCCACTGGAACGTCTGAAGGTTTATCTTCCACAGGTCAGAGAGGATCAGCTCGCCATTATAACCTCCACATATGAACACCTCTGAGTGTTAAAAAAAAGGCAGATATGAGGCAGGCAATCGAACGTCACCGTGATCAGTGGAGGCTGTGTGAAATACTGCTCACCATYTTTGATCTGAACACAGCTGTGACATCGACGTGCTGCAGGATATCCTGTGATAAGAGACCAAGACAGTCAAGTGAACTCCAAATAACACATTTAACTGAAATGTACAGTGCAGGACATGTATGAGGACAGSAGGACAGCGGTGGAAGTCAAGGGCCCAGTATGCTCGATCCAAAGCCAAACAGTAATGGTCACTCWGTTGTTCGACATTCGTTTTCACACACATCCTTCACAGCTCCTGAGACGCACTGCGCCAAGCTCCTGGGAAAACCCTCCCACTGCGGTACACGTCACCTCACTGGGTTTCTACCTGCTGAAGTCTAAATGCCTTAAATAGGGACTTTGATAAAATTTTAAAACTTATTTTAGAGCTGTTTTTCCTTTTTGTACTCGTAAGGCTCTATGTACAGATTCCAAAACTATTTAGTTGTTTTTTTTTTTAATCGGACCCCCCATTAATTAGGAAGCAAGTGCTCCATGAAAGTGGGCACTTTCAGCATAAACAAACATGCCTACAAACTTCTGACCAATCACATAATTATTTCTTATTCAGAAGGGGGTGAAACCTTCTCCTGGTAGGTTGTGACAAAAAAAGGGCTGAAGATTTAAAGTTGCAAACAAAAAGGACACAATTTTCATCATGCAACTGCGACAATGAGAGACGATTTTGACAGTTTGGATGGAGAACAAGGGGATGCACCAAGGGTCGGCTCTGAGTCCCTTCTAGTTTGCTCTGACGATTGACAGAATAACAGATGTAGTCATACAGAAATCCTCAAAGACTATGATGTTTGTGATCTGTGGTGAGAACAGAGAGGTGGAGGCATGCAACTGAAAGAAGACGACTGAAAGTCAGCCGYAGAAAGAAAGAATACGTGTGTGAATGAGGAGCAGAGGTTGCAAATGTGCAGGACTTGAAGTACTTAAGACGATTAAGTCAGTGACAGGTGAAAGTAACAATAAAACATTTAATAACAATTCACAAATCTCAGTAAATGGACTTCTTGTTTCTGATCATGAAAAAATTGCTAACTTATTTAATGAATATTTTATTTCTTCAGTAAGGACATCATTACCGGGACAAGCTAATAGTTTAAAGTTATTTAAATATCCTGACACATCAAAGCAATTTTCATTTTCTGAAATTTCACAGAGTGATGTTTTGAATATACTCCAATCTCTAAATGGCTCACATGCATTTGACAAATATAAGATAAATATGGATTTCTTGAAAATGCATGCCAACACTTTTTTACCATTGTTTCATCATTTGCTTAATTTATGTATTGTGCAGCCTATTTTCCCTGATGCCTGGAAGTTTGCTCAGATTACTCCCATTTTTAAATCTGGTGATCCAACAGAAGTTTCAAACTATCGGCCAATTTCTGTTCTTCCTATTTTTCTAAGTTACTTGAAAAAAACATTATTTAATCAACTACTTCAGCATCTAGAAGCTAATAATATGCTAAGCAATAGCCAACATGGTTTCCGCACGTCAAGGTCAACCATGTCTGCATTAATTTTATTCACTGAACAAATACGTGCTGCTTTGAACAAAGGTCAAGTAACTGGTGCTGTTTATATTGATTTTCGTAAAGCGTTTGACACAGYTGATCATTRTACTCTCTTACAAAAGTTGATTTCTTTTCAACTTTCATCATCTGCAATACAAATGTTTTCCTCTTATTTGACTGATAGGTGTCAGGTTGTGAAACATGGAAGCTCTGTGTCCGGGTCTCTGCCCTGTTCCGTGGGAGTTCCACAGGGTAGCATACTGGGCCCACTGCTTTTCCTATTATACATAAATACACAAAAATATTGAAGTATTCAAATATTTTAATGTATGCTGATGAAACTGTTCTTTTTTTGTCTGATTTCAATATTGAATCTATTAATAGTCAGTTACAAGCAGATCTTCAGATATTTCATGGTTGGCTTCAAGATAATCTTTTGTCAATTAATGTTAAAAAAAACTGTGTGCATGTATTTTTCCTCACCCAGGAGACATTTCAATATAACAAATCAACTCACTTTTTTAAACAAACCCCTTGATATTGTCACTACCTACAAATATCTTGGAATTACTTTGGATTCTCATTTGACTTATCGTGATCATGTACGAGTCTTAACCACTAAGTTGAAACAGAAATTATACGTTTATTCAAAAATTAGATCCAATCTGACATCTTCTGTTTCAAATATCTATCTTCATGCCAATATACTCTCAACCATGTCATACTGTTTACCTGTTTGGTCTCTTTCAACAAATGAAATCTTAGAACCGATAGTTAGGCTCTACAACAGGGCCTACAAAATTCATAAAAAACTTCCTGTTTGGACTCATCACTGTACAGTTCTTTCATTGTCTGATGCCTTGACTTTTCAGAATTATGTTTTGTATAGTGGTATTAATTTATATTTTCAGATCTTCCAAGGTGCCAATTATGGAACTCTTTGTGCATTGCTGCCCAAATCAAATTCTGGAAGTGGTCATTCAACTAGATCTGTTGCAAAAGGACAACTGATATTACCAACTTTTAAAAACTGTTACGGCCAGAGGTCTTTCTTCTATGTTTATACTAAAGCATGGAATGACATTCCTCAAAACATAAAGTCCATTTCAAAACTACAGCCCTTTAAGAAGAATCTTGTCTGCCATCTGCTGGACACTTTTTGTTGTGCTCATATTTAGATGTCCTATTTTGCAAATGCTGCCTTTTAGAAATTTGGTATGCTTGTTTGTCTTTGTGTCTATGGTGTAATAATAATGATGTGATTGTGATGCTGTAATTCTGAGTGTTTTATGTGCTGCAGAACAGGAACCTGCTGTAAAACAGCAATTATGCTGAGGCAGGCTTGATTTTTAATAATCTTTTCCTGTTAAATAAATAAATCAAATCAAATCAAGACTGTCCGGGAGAACAGGGACTGTGGTTTAAGAGGTGAAGAAGAGACCAGGCTGGATGGAGAAATGTTTCAGGAGTGATTTGTGACAAAAAGGGTGGCAGCAAAGATCAAAGGAATGGTTTACGAGAGAGCAGTGACACCAAAAGATGAGACAGCAGCGTCAGAGCTGAAGATGAGGTTCTCCTTGGAGGGACAAGGATAAAGTTAGACTGAAATGGTTTGGACATGTCCAGAGGAGGGACAGTGGGTAAATTAGTCGAAGACAGATATATGGATGGAGGATAGTGAGATGGAGGAAGACTCCTGAAAACATACCTATTTTTTCATGAGGTTTAGTTATTATTTCTTCCCAGTAATTGGTCTCCAGGTTATATGCATGAATCTGATCAGGAGAAATTATAATAAATGAATAAAATGCAGCATAATTTAACAACAAATCAAGATTTTAAGTTTGTCTCACTTTATCTAGCTGATATGAAGTCCAGGAAGTTCCACCTCCTAGAATGTATATTCTCTGTCCGTCATGAGCCAGCTCATGTCTGTACCTGGAAATGTATTTATTTTCCGTCTTCAGTAACATGTTGGAGCTTTAATGTAAAACACGTTGCTGTCTGAACTCGTACGCAGACTGACCTCTCCGCGGGAAGATCYGATGGCGCGTTGTTGGGTTTCAGGTGGCTCCACTCTCTGGTGCTCAGATCCAACCTGTGCAGGTCGGTGCTGTAAAGGTAGCCGGTCGTCCCTCCGAACACGTAGAGGTAGCCGTTCATAATAACCATGGCCTGGAAATAATGAGCGTTGAGTGTTGATCCGTGACGCGGAAACATGGAGTCTCCGCTGACACGAGCGTTACCTGGCCGTAGATCTTGTTTGGTTTCTTCTCTCTGCAGCTCAGCAGGTTCCACCGTCTGTACTGGACGTTGCAGACGTGGACGTCGTTGCTGTTGTTTTCACCGAAGGGGATCCCGGTTCCACCGAACACCAGCAGGTTGTTTCCATGTAGGGCAGCTGAGAACGAGACATTGACTTCACTAAACTCCACCGTCTTTATAAAACCCCAGCCTGAAAACATCTCAACCTGTTGCCGTCATTTTCACAAACTGGCTGCTTTTTCAAATGACACGTCATGTTTGAAGTCAAGGTTTCAGTAAATGTTTGGCTACTAAAAACATTATATGGATAATCGAGTCTTTTGCTGACATATGCTGTTTTTAAAAGAGGACAACAGCAGAAAAAAAAAGACACAATAAAAAACAATAACCCTCCCAAAACCAGAGATAAACTAATAACTAAGCTTGTTTGAGTGGAAGGTCATACAGCTAWGGTAAGCTTTGATAACTAGTGACTTATACAAATAATAACAGTGTATCATCTTATCTAACTGGGAATAAATTGTGCCCTACAGAAAATATAAAAAAAACTTCAACTACAGAACTGAAAAGTACTAAAAAGACCTCACTGCTTCTAATCAGAAGGAAACACACACACAAACTCTGGACTTTGTGTTTCTACCAACACAATRATCTTGCTGCAGCTTTAATTTGTTTTTATGACTCTCAGTGTGGCTCTTAACATTCAAGCTGCAGCTGGAACTGCTTCCTACATTTTCCATCTCCAAGCAAATAGCATTCAACTCGAGCTCAGTTTGCAGAGCTGCTGCCTCCCCTCTTTGGGCTGGACCCCCGCAGAGAAAACACTGCATACCATTCATATGTGACGATACTAAAACATGACTACAGAGAGGTGACTGATCTGTTGTCTGGTCCAAGACACTTTTTAACTTTCAGAAGTTTTGCATAAAATCCCTGCATTAATTTTTTTCCTGAGTAAACAAACATGGACTAGGACCTGCTGACTCTCACCTGACATAGACGCCAGCTCTGTGGGCATATAGCCCTCTGTGCGAACCTGCTGCCAGGTGGCTGTGGCGAAATGAAACCGCCAGAGTTCCCTGAAAAGAGGGTAATCCTCGTTCTCTGACCCGCCCGCCTCCTCAAAGTCAGGGTTGTAGCCCCCGAACACGTACAGGTTGGCGCTGTCTGCAACACAGCGGTGTCCACTGCGGGCAGGCGGTATGCAGTGTCCTGTGGGAGAAATTAAATTTACGGTTGGGGATTTTTAGTTTATTTTCCCCCCGCAGCCCTCTTTCCCTGACATTTTAGTACCTTCTCTGAGAAACCTGTTGGGGATCCGCAGGTTGGGGCAGGTGGGCGAGAAGAGCCGTCGAGCCTGAAGCCACCGTGCTCGTTTCTTGGAACCTGAAAAAGTGAAATAATTATATTTGAAAACACATACAGAGGGTAAAAATAAGTATTAAACACATCAACATTTTTCTCAGTAAATATATTACTAGAGGTGCTAATGACATGAAATTTTCACCAGATGTCGGTAACAACCCAAGTGATCCATACATACAAAGAAATCAAACCATAAATGTCCAGAAATGAAGTTATTTGTAATAATGTGGAATGGCGCAGGGAAAAAGTATTGAACACATGAAGAAAGGGAGGTGTAAAAARGCATGGAAAGCCAAGACACCAGCTGAACTCTCTCAGTAATTTGAAAGCAAGCCTGCCCCTTGTCAGTGCAAGTTAATATCAGCTGGTTCAGTCCCAAATGATGGCCAGGTATCACACAAGAACCATCTGATGATGGGTAAAAGTAAAGAGCTCTCAAGACCTTCACAACCTTATTGTTGCAAAGCATAATGATGGCATCGGTTACAGAAGAATGTCTAAACTTCTGAAGGTTCCAGTGAGCACTGTTGGGGCCATAATTCAGAAGTGGAAAGAACATYATTTCACCATAAACTGACCACGACCAGGTGCTCCTCACAAGATTTCTGACAGTGGAGTGAAAAGAATTATCAGAAGAGTTGTCCAAGAGCCAAGGACCACTTGTGGAGAGCTTCAGAAAGACCTGGAATTAGCAGGTACGTTTGTTTCAAAGAAAACAATAAGTAATGCACTGAACCACCATGGCCTGTATGCACGCTCACCACGCAAGACTCCACTGCTGAAGAAACAGCATGTTGAAGCTCCTTTAAAGTTTGCTGCACAACATTTAGACAAGCCTGTGAAATAGCCCAAAAACACCATACCAACAGTGAAGTTTGGAGGTGGGAACATCATGGTGTGGGGCTGTTTTTCAGCATATGGTACTGGCAAACTTCAAATAATTGAAGGAAGGATGAGTGGAAAAATGTACAGAGACGTTCTTGATAAAAATCTGCTTCCATCTACCAGGATGATGAAGATGAAACGTGGCTGGACATTTCAGCAAGACAATGAGCCCAAACACAAAGTCAAGGAAACTCTCAGTTGGTTTCAGAGAAAGAAACTAAAGCTGCTGGAATGGCCCAGCCTATCACCTGACCTGAATCCAACAGAAAATCTATGGAAAGAACTAAAGATCAGAGTTCATAGAAGAGGTCCACGAAACCTTCAAGATTTGAAGACTGTTTGTGTGGAAGAATGGGCCAAAATCACACCTGAGCAATGCATGCCACTAGTTTCTCCATACAGGAGGCGTCTTGAAGCTGTCATTGACAACAAAGGATTTTGTACAAAGTATTAGATAAATTTCAGTAAGTGTGTTCAATACTTTTTCCCTGTGCCATTCCACATTATTACAAATAACTTCATTTCTGGACATTTATGGTTTGATTTCTTTGTATGTATGGATCACTTGGGTTGTTACCGACATCTGGTGAAAATTTCATGTCATTAGCACCTCTAGTAATATATTTACTGAGAAAATGTTGACGTGTTCAATACTTATTTTACCCGCTGTATATCAAATTTAGGCATTAGTCAAACAATTTATTCATGTATATAATTATTAACTGAGCAATAAGTACTAATTACAGTAAATAAACTGTGGCTGAACAGCAAAAAAACAAGACATTCTGCTCAACCAAAACCAGGTAATAATTAAAATAAACTGTTGTAAAGCATGAAAAAATTCACAATATTTTAACCTCACTAAAGTTCTCGACCAGAACCAGTAATCTTTAAAATATTTTAGGGTAAGATGTCAGTTTCACGTGATGTTTTATTGTCTGCAGCTTTAACCAGTTTTGTGTCTGCCACATGATACTGACATCTGTTTGGGACATTTTAACAACACTGATGTAATTTCCGTAGCCACGTAAGCTAATTTTAGCCTGCCTGCTGCAGCGACCAATGTCATCGTTTCCCATAGATCAGACTAAACGCACAACCATAAAAACCAGGACTATAATCGATAACAAAACTCTCTGATCGATGCTGCTTGTTGGACGAACATGCCTGATGCAGCTGTTAGCAGCTGTTTTTGTTTCACCGACCTGAGTCGCGGACAGAGGGCCTCCACGACAGCTTCTCAAATTCGTTGAGGTGACTGAATGTCCCGTCGGGTTCCGAAGAAGACATTTTGCTGCACGCAGAGACAGAATGGGAGTTCACCCCGACAGCTGGACAACAATCCGCTTTACTATCGTTGTAGCATCGAACCGCTAGGCTAACCTCTCCTGCAAAATAAAGCGGAGCGAAACTTCACATGACGTCACAACCAGCTGGTCTGAACCACTGACCAATCAGAGYAGGGGGGAGCTTTCGCGTTGCGTTCGAGAACCACGTAGAATATAGTAATAAGGAATGTTATTAAACTCGTAGACGTGGGAGTAATATTTGGGTAAAACACGTTTACGCTATATAAACAGTTGTTTAAAAAATAGGACTTTGTGTTCTTCTGTTTGTTTCAAAGAAGGCCACGATTTCAAGAATCAACGGATGTATAATCTATTTGTATATAAACGTAAACATAAAATCAAAACAAGTAAAAGAAAGAAGAAACTCTAATCTTAAATACAGTAACAATAAAATAAGTACTAGATTTTCAGAAAATAAAAGTAAAATCTGCAAAGTTAGCATATGCACAAAGTTATATTGGACACATGGTAATGTTGTGAGTCTTGACGCCCCCTGGTGGTTGAATAAAGACTTGCAGCACACCCAGGTACAAACCAGGCCCAACTCTTCTCAGGCGATAAATGTCACACAGCTAGCCTGACAAGACATTTTCTAATATAATATTCCTGTCTAACAACATTTTATGCCACTGTGTTATGCTATATGGTCTAAGGACAGATTGTGCAAATTCAAAAGGAACTTGGATCCGACGTGTGATCGTTGTAAACAATCCCCTGCCACACTTTTACACACATTCTGGTCCTGTCCAAAGYTACATGGATATTGGCAAGGCATCTTTGATACGTTTTCAGGACTATTTGGACGAACTGTTCATCCATCACCACTCATCTCTCTTTTTGGAGTGGCTCCAGCAGAAGCTTCCCTCAGTGAACATCAACAACTTTAACCAAAAAAAGACATTTTCTAATATAATATTCCTGTCTAACAACATTTTATGCCACTGTGTTATGCTATATGCTGTTTTACGTAAACTTAATGTATGAATATTTTGTTTCTGAGTCATTTCTGCTCAGAAACACTTCATCTATTTATTTAAGTTTTGACCTTGTGTTTTCCTGCAAATTCTTTGCAGTAATTAAGAAGAATGAAGTAATGAACCACTATAAAGAAGTCCATCAGAAAGAACTAGAGTGAGCTGGACTAATTATAACTGGATTTTAGTTGTTTATTTTTACTGGCGCAATATTAATAAGCCTAACTGAGTCTGAGTTAATTGAAAAAAGTCACATTAAGTTAACCATTATAAGACCAACTTAGTCTGTTTCTTTAAAGGGTATGAACAAGGTATAAGTGACTCATTTTTCATGACACATATCAAGCGTCAACCTTTCCCCCAGATCATTTGAAGCTGCTCTGCTGACGGGCTGCTGCATTAGTGCATTCTGGATGTGAAACTCACCGGGAGGAGCCGAGAGAGGAAAAACAGAACAAACAGGTCATAAAGCCGTGTTGTGTCTCGACCACTGTGACTCCAACATGTCAGAGTAGTCTGTGTTAAACATGTTTACCTTTTGCTGACATTAAAGTTYCCATGTGTCTCTCTCTGCTCTGAAGCTTCAAATAAAATAAAAACAAYCTGAGCAACACTTGGATCCTATTCACTGTAAAATTCACTGAAATGTTTAGTATTTTTATTGACTGAGTTGTGGTTGTTCTTGAGTTCAGTTGGCTGTGGTGGCCATCTTGAATCTCCAAAAGCTACATGCAGTGTTTATTTGTGATATGTATAGTTCACCATGTCTCCAAATAATTTATTTATAGTTGTGAATTTTCTTTTTCTCCTTTAAAAAACAGAACTTCAAGTCTCAAACCACATGCTATGACATAAAAAAKGATCTTATTTTTAGCTGAATGTACACCATAAAAATGTTAATTATATACTGCCCATTGTTCAGAGCAGCTTCTGACGTTTAACATTTCATTTAAACCTGGTGATTTCTCTTTACGTGGCTCGCTGATTTTCTTTCTCTTCGCAGATCAGTGATCATAAAGATCATAAAAAACTCTCTAAATAAGTGGGTACTTAGAGACTGATCCTCACTTCTGAGGAGTGGTCAACGTCTTGACTGACTGGGGTTAGAGAAGACACAAAGACAGAATGACTGGTCCAGATGTTTATGTGGTCCAGATGTTGTAATAGGGTCTGGTCCATGTGTGATTTGTACGGTCCAAGTCTAGTTTTTCTGGTCCAGGTGTGGTTTCTGTTGTCTGGGTGTAGGTTTCCGTGTTAAGCTGTAGTTTCTTTGGTCCATGTGCAGTTTTCTACAGTCCAGATGTATGTTYTATGTTTCAGGTGTAATTTATAAGGTCCAGATGTAGGTTTCTGTGGTCCAGGTTTGATTTCTCTGGGGAGAAAGAAAAAGACAAACACAAGTTAATGATGAAAATAATTGTAAATACAAACASTGAGAATAAAGCCACTAAAAATGACCGTCACAATAGCCAATCCTAACTATAGGAAGTCTTAAACCTGACCCTAAAAGCAGCTCCCTGTTCTTTCAGAAACTCTAGGAACCACAAGTAATCCTGCAGTCTATGAATCCATTTAAGGCTTTTAATTTCAGTATATTTAATGTAGTTTTAACACATTTTGCAGTCATTAATGTGTGAGAATATAATGAGCGCCTGTCTTATTAACTGTTCACGCTCATGATTCGTGTCACCCACGTGACACAACTTGTCTTCAGACTCCCTATAAGGTAATTTCATCATAGCTCTAAATCAGATAGAATAGGCGTGTTTTGCTCTTTAAGCATCGTTTAAACTGTTTTATTTGATAAAAACGGGCTTTAAGGGTGACTGTATGTTAATGTTCGAGTGCGGTTCTTTGTTTCTGCGGCAGTCTCGGTGGAGTTCCCGGTTTGCTGCGCTTGTTGCGGGTGTATTTTCTGTGTTTGAGCCCCTCCTCTGCTCTGCTCTGGTCGGTTCGGTTCGGTCGCTGGAGGTTGATGTCACCGGCAGAGAGAGTCTTCAGGACAGGACAGGACACAACTAGGTGAAACTGGTCAGGAGGGAAGCTAAAGAAGGCGATGTTGCAGCTGAGGTTTTGCCTGCGGACGCTGAGGGAAGCCTGCTGATACAGTCCAGTTGGCTTGTAGGTATTGTCAAGCTGAAAGGTTAAGGTAGCGTCATTATTTTTAGATCACTTCGCTTTGAGCTACACACACAAAAAAAATGTCGTCTCCAAGTCCRGGCAAGAGGCGAATGGATACCGACGTGGTGAAACTGTATCCTTCACAGCACACAAACAAGCCAAATGACATCTTTCAATGGAAAGAGTCAGCTGTTTTTATGGTTATTGATTATATAATTTGTTCTCGGTGACTGCTTTTTTACTCTGTGTAAGTGTAAATACTTTTATATGAACGTACAGGCTGTCTATAGCGTGAGCTAGTTAGCTGGATGGCGAAAGCGAGCCATCAATTTTGCGTTTTTTTTCTCTCAACTGAACTCACTTAGCATTAGCTTAGCTGTAGTCTGTTTGTATCAATAGGAAATTAGCAACGAACACTGTGGGTCCGCTCCTTATTAATCCGGCAACACAAAACCCGGCTAGAAGGGATTGGTGGGCGGCGAYGGTGGAGTTAATTTTCCAGAATTGACGCTACGTGGTGGGCCGCTATGCGCGCCAGGGTATAAATGATGCGGACCTGGTTGCAATACAAAGATGGCTGTTCACTCTGTTATCCTCGAGCGCTTGTAGCCCGAGCTTGAAAGCMTTAAGTCGAACTGCAGTATATAATCATACTGACTGACAACACGCTGTGAAGTATAAGCGAAGCAACATTTACACAGTGGAAACACTTTTTTGTAAAGAAAYGTACGTTAATCGGTGATTTAGCAACGTTTACGCCTTAAGTAGCTAGCATTTTAGCATTACCGATTAAGATCGATCTTTGATAAAGTCCATTCTCGTCCGCAGTTCATTCATTGAATATGATCGATAACTTCGCCCTTTTCTGTGTAACATTTTTWAACTAAAAGCTCTAAAAGTAAGACGAATTTTAAGTTTCTTTGTATCGCATGTTTACCACGAATCATACAGTAAAACAATAATTGAAGCCAAATATTTTTTTTATTCCGCGCTTAACTTTTCATAAAAATGATCTAAGACTGATCTAGGTTTTTTTGAGGATTATTATTTTTATTATTATTCAAACACCATTAATCTGTGAGGGATTAGTCATCCCACATCACGTTTTAATGATTGACAGCTGTTCAGTAAATAGTCCGTGATTCTAAGCATTTTTTTAAATGTTATAAAATAATGGCATCGATCAGCTAAAGTTTTTTAATCCTTAACCAGGAAATGATTTTTTTCTGTCTGTGCACGAGCTGAATTGTTTTGTTTTTGTCCTGCATTTACATGCTGCTTTCTGATTGGTCGGCTTGTTACCATCCGGAACATGGAGGGGGGCGGGGCTTGACTCTCAGCTGATGGGGAACAACAACAAGTGAGCTGCAGGGGCACATGTGTGCGGGGATGGGGGGCTGGGAGCATCCGTCAACAGCGGGGACAGAACTGCATTCTTTTTGTTTTCACCCCCACAGGTCTGAAGAGACACAGACTAGTGGAATGCCTTTTGTTAGATTTACATGTCCAGCTAAAACACATAGCATTAGCTTCTAAAATGTTGGACCAAATCAAAAAAACTTGAGGTTTTTACTTACATACAACTAATAACCCATTTTAAATGTCTCTTAGGCTTAAAATGTGTAAAAAACAGTAGGTAATAAACATAAAATACGTTTTATATTGTTAGTTTTCATTTTGTTTTTGTTGCTATAATGGGTACCCACTTGTAAAGTTGCGAGGGACATATAGTCCTTAACATTTTCTACATGTTTTAGTTGTTGAGCTTTGTTTTACATTAAAAATGTCCCATAAACGCTAACACAATTAGCATGCTGTTTATCTCAGAAAATGTGTACACAAATCAAACGTTTTAAAGTATGTTATGATAACTTTAATATTTATGGACATACTATATGCTCTTTAGGGTTCAGGAATGAAAATATGTCAAAACCCACAGATTTACTGCGACAACAGGAARCTACGGTAACTCTGCTGGGACAAATCGTACCTTGTTCTGGTGGCTTCTAAACTGACAGGACAGATTAATGTTAATATATAATTTTGATTTGATAAAAACAACTCAATCTTCCAGGTCCTAAAAACAAAACAAAAAAAAAAAATACCCACACATTGTTTGTGTTGTGAATTTTAAGCCAATGGTTGGGGAAGGGACAGATAAAAGTAGAAAATTTGTCAGTTTTCTTGCATTTTGCCACCTTTTTGTTTCCCTTAACCTGACGTCAGCATTGAGAGCAAACATGAAGTTACCATCCTGAGTGGACTCAACGAGTTTGTGGTGAAGTTTCACGGACCGCCTGGAAGTAAGACCCTCGAACTTCTTCTGTGTTTCTCAGAATAATCTCCCACACTACGTAACATTCTTCTGGCACGCTTTAAAAACGTGTTTGGTTAGACTTTAAATGTTTTGTCTTTACGTGTTTGCTATTTTAGCTCCGTATGAAGGAGGAGTTTGGAAAGTTCGAGTCGACCTGCCAGATAAATACCCCTTCAAATCACCATCAATAGGTACAAATATTTGGAGTGTAAAGATTAAAAATCATATAMCAGCATGGATTTGTGTGTGTTTTAGAGTTATAAGAGCAATTTTTTGTTTTGTTTTCAGGATTCATGAACAAAATCTTTCATCCCAACATTGATGAAGCGTAAGTTGGACAACTTTACAAGGATGTGCTCCTTCTGATTATGTTCATTAATAATCACCATTCAGGAAATCTCATGATGTTTTGATGACTTTTCATTTAAAACTCAACTCTTACTTTTTAAATAATGTAGTCACCGTCTTGTCTTTCTCAGGTCAGGAACAGTATGTTTAGATGTCATTAACCAGACGTGGACAGCTCTTTACGGTAAGTTTTTTTAAAAAATTTTTACATCTGGAACTTGTACAGCTACTTTTTTATGATGGTCTAAATATGACACATAAATTATTTTTCCTTATACGATCCCTGCTCTTTTTTTCATATATGGTACAACTTTGTTTAGCACTTTTGTAAAAGTGAATAACTCTGCAAAGTGTTGTTAGAAAATTACAATAATTATGATCTGAYTGACATGAAATGTTTGATCATGTGGAGGAGAGCTCCGCATGTTCAGTCAACAACACTCCCARATCCTAAAACTCACCCATTACTATCTCCTGACAAACCTTTTCTCAGTATTTTCCTACAGTTGGGCATTATTTCCATTTTAGCCAGCAGCTAGCAGGAAATTAAAAATAAGTCAAATTTAAAACATTAAAAGGGGAGTATYATGCAAAATYGACTTTTTTTGGGCTTTATATCATATTGTGTCATCATTCATTCTTTAAAAACATAGCCAGAGTGTTGTTTTAAATTTGTGCGTTTGTTGAATTGTTCACATTTACCTCACCTGTCAAGATACAAATTCTAACTTTGTTGACTAAAGTACTGCTGCTTGGCCTCTGTATTGAAGAATAAAACCGTCAGAATAAATAGTACACTATAAGTGAACAACGCTGTCACCAGTTCTGAATCATAGCTTCAAAAATTTAGAGATATTTATTTATTTATTTATTTATTTTTGCTGAACGATGAAGAGAAAATTTCAACGTAAGAGAAAAAACTTTAAGAAGCTTACATTTCAGAAATGTTTCATGCAGACGATGATGGAGGAAGGGTACTTGTGGACATTAAAAGCCTTTAAGTAGTAAAAAAATTGCATCACTTCAACCATTTCCTTTTTTTTTAATCTCTTTCAATAACTTCAGGTGACTTCCTCTCTGTAGCTCCAGCTGAATGTTTTAACTAAACCAGATATTGTTCTCTCTTGAATACATGATTTGCAGATCTTTGCATTTATTTCTTGTTTAAACTCGCAGTAGATCAGGAGCATCATTCTCACGATTACATCGACGAGTCTCTGCTGCTTTGTTGTTACTGACTCCTCTTTCTCCTCACGTTGAACCAGACCTCACCAACATCTTTGAGTCGTTCCTCCCTCAGCTGCTCGCCTACCCCAACCCCATCGACCCWCTGAACGGTGACGCCGCCGCCATGTACCTGCACCGGCCAGAGGACTACAAACACAAGATCAAAGGTAACGAGCCTCTTTTTTTTTTTTTTTTTACACCGTATATTTATTCGCCCATTTAACAAGTCGACTCGTATTCCGGTTGTTTCTTCCAGAGTACATCCAGAAATACGCCACAGAGGAGGCTCTAAAGGAGCAAGAGGAGGGCGGGGGCGACTCGTCTTCCGAGAGCTCCATGTCGGACTTTTCGGAGGACGAGGCTCAGGATATGGAGTTGTAGTGAAGGAGGAGGCGCCTTCACCTCGCGGCGGACTACAGAGCAGAAACTCAGTGCTATATTCATATTTAAACAAGACAATTTTTTTACAGCGACATGAGGATTTTTATCGCTACACGAGGTTTTGCAGTACGAGGGAAGATAAAAAGAAAAAGAAAAACCAATCCCACGTTTAGGAATTCATCCCCGTCAGCCACTCTTTTTGTGCATTGAGAGACTCTGCTTAGATCAGAATGATGTGCTTTATTATTATTTTTTGATCTTTCGTGGAAGTTTGATCGAGTCTGGACTGAGCTGTGAGACGGACACAGGAGGACCCGCTTTTACTACAGGCCACACCTTTCATTTTTCTGTTTCTTTGTTTTCTTTTTTCTTTCTGGTTATCTGAGTTGCTCACAACATCTGTGCAGCTTGGATGCACGAGGAACGTCCCTGTCTTTTTTTTTTTTTTTCCCACAGCGCCACCACGAACAGCTGCAGAGCGGTTGCACCTTCAAAGAATCAAAGTGTGCTCRGTGTACAGACACGTAACAGGACGACTCTGCAACCCTGCAGACGCCACACACTTCAGCCATGAAAACTCACACACACACTACGATATGTGTGTGTGTAATAACCTTTGTGTTGCAGGGCACTGATGCTCAGCAGAAATCAGGAGAGAGGTTCACAAATTCCTCTGCTCAGCTCCCACTTCCTCCTCCTCCTCCTCTCCGTTTTAGGAAAGCGTTTGTGTTTCTCTGAGTATCTTTGTGTTTGGCGGCGTGGTTCAGCAGTTGAAGTGTGTGTAACGCGGCGGGGAGGGCGCCYGGCTCGGGATCATCGTTGGAACTTCATAACTGCTCGTGTTGAACTCTAATAGGTGTCTGACTTGCGTAGGGATAGTTAGTATCTTTGCAGGTGGTGAGTCCTGTCACAGTGTTTGGTTTAATGCGTCGGTAAAAACACGCAGGTTCAAAAATCTGTTTTATTTTTTTTCTCTGATAAACGTTGAGAGTTCTTCATCTGCGGGACGACTCTGCTGAATCTAATCCTCCAAAGATCTGGTGCTCCTCCTCCACACCTCCTAAATGTGACTGTCACACTTTTATCTGAAAGAAGCCTTTTTTTTTCCCAGCCTTTCATCACGGTCACAGTTTTTCTCTTTATTTATAGTGTTTGTTTTTAAAATGATGGGACCAAAATAAATCAGATTTAGGAGGGAGTTTAATATGTGGATAAAGAGGTGAAATTGAGGGAAAAAACGTTAAAAAATGCTGCCCGAACAAAAAGGTCAAACTCTCGGCTTTCTGTCTGATTGAGCTCAGGCCTGAGTTTCTTCTCCGTCAGACACTGAAACATGCGGTCCTGATTTCCGCCTGTAAATCTTTACTGACAGAGTCCTGAGATTTAACCGTTTGTTGAACTGATAATCCCTTTAAAGAAAACATTAGCCTGTTTTATGTGGACCTGTGAGGAGCAAACATTAAGAAAATCTGATCAAACTAACGTTTTTGTGACATAAGTAGTATTTGTACCAAATATTCTGCGTGTTTAAAATCGCAGTTTTCACAAGCAACAACAACAAAAAAAACTGTTCCACATTATCATCTGGATTTATCATTTAAACACATTTATTCGATGCTTATAATTTGTCTGAATGTTTTTATTTTTTCTCTTTTTAAGCCCTGTGTACAGGATACGGATATCCCTGACTTTTAAAAAGGCAAAAACAGTCAATAAATGTGCTTCCCTTGTAACTTGAAGAAAGAAATAAACAATAAAAAACATAAGTGTTGTTGGCGTTTACAGGTGGGGCAGGGAGAGTTTGTGTTTAGAAGTTGTTTATCTTTTTTTGCTGAATTTAAGCTTGAATAAATTTAGCTGTTTTCATTAAAATGACAGGTTATAATTATTATATAACATGTTTGATTTTGGTCTGTGGGAGGAAACACATGCATGTGGAGAACGTGCAAAGATCAGTAACAAGATTCTCAACTAGTAACCCTTTCCTTGGGTAAAAAATAAAACGATACCAATTTGGTTTTAATTTTAAAAAATGAAAATTTCAGCGTAAATGGAAATATTCTCTATTCTGGCTTCACAWCTTGCTGATTTTTTATTTATTTTTTTGTTTATCACAGAATTATATTTTTTTTCAAGGATTGCCTCTTTTTAAAGTCTAAACTACACATTTTACCTTATTTCCTTCTGGGATTAATAAAGTATTTTTGAATTTGAATTTGATTTTTCCTTTCAATACATTTGTTAAAATTTTTATTTGATTTGGGTCACGGCTTATTACAGGCTGAAAGTGGACCAGCTGAAAACTACTGATCTATTGTTGATTTATGTTTGTGTTCATATTGTCTGATTATAGCGATGAGTTTTTCATTTTGTCCACTAGATGGCAGTATTCAGATGGTAAAGTTGATTTCTTTTGTAGTGTTTTATAATAAGCGTTCTCCGTCCATGTTTTTAAATTTATTCATATAAAATATGTTGGTGTCTTTCTTACTGTTTTTATTTCAGTGCTTTTTTATATTTTAAATATAAAGTCTCATAACTGGAATAGTTGCTTTACAGCAGGGGTTCCCAAAACGGGGGGTTGTGGGTCCTAAAACATCAAGGTGGGGTCTGGAAACGGTTTTTTTGAATTAGTTGCATTTTAAAATGACTACAATTTAAAAATGACTTGGATACAAAAGAGTGAGATTCTTGAACTTAAAAAATAAATAATAGGCTGTTCAACCTGCTGCTGCTSTTCTGTGGATCAAAAGCTGAACAGGAACCAGTTGCTCTATTAAATAATTTTTAAACTTCACAGATTAAGACAACAGCAAATGTTCTGGATTTTAATTCAGCCAACTGTGTTTGTTAAAAGAAAATAAAAAAAAGAGGTTGTGAGAGTGCAGGAACAAGATTTTCTTTGCAGAAATCTAAAACCAGGTTTCAAAACACATTATATATATTTGTCATTTTATTATGTCCCTTCTTGACTCAGCCTATAAAGTGATGCTGATGACTGAGTGATGCTCTGACTCAGACCAGGAGTAAAATGATCCAATAAAATATTCATCGCTCTGCGCATATTCTGGTGTCCAGTTGCAACATCAGTGTTTAATCTGGCTGCTCGGCCACTCTCAGTAATTAGGACTTTATTCATGTATTTATTTTCTTGGGACTTTAAAGCTTGTTTAAAAAAATGTGCTTTAAACACATCAGTTATTACTGGGCTGCTTTTTTTGTCCTTTCTTAGTCCTGATTTCAAGTTTCATGTTAAATTTGGGTTTTTTTTTTTTTAAACTGTGGTATTTTAACTGAACATTGAAGCTGTAAGTGTGGTGAGTCATTAAAGAGTCGCATCATTAAAAAAAAAAAAAAAACAGGATCAAACGGGAGTTCCAGTTGTTCCAGAGTAACCCGAGACGCAGCAGGAGGAGAGGAGGACGCGCGGATCCATGAAGACTCTGCTGGCCGGCTGCGCCTCCTTCATAATGTATGGAGAGGAACAAAGGGAGCGCGGCTGGATTTCAACCTTAACTTTCAGAACAGCAGTAACCCAAACCCCCCCTGCTCTCCGACAACACTGGACTCACATCAGCTGAAAGGATGATGCGACTTTTTCCACCTGCAATCTGTCTAATAATCACCGACAGCAGGTAAATGAGCTCCGGGGAGCTCCGGGTATAAAACGAGGAGCAGAGGAGGAGGAGGCCTTGAGGTGGAAGAAACGGGGAGGAGAGAGAGGAGGAGGAGGTGGCGCGCCCGGCGGATGCTGGTGAGTTAGACCTGCAGCCTGAAGAAACGCGTTAAAAATGACCCCGAAATCAAATATCTTTAATCATTTGACATTTCAGTGTTTTCATCAGTTAGTTTTTATATTGTAAGCACGTGTTTCTGTTAAAGCTGTACCATATCTAGTCCTCATCTCCTCCACTTTACGCATTCTGTGCGTAAAAAGGCGCACCGGAAATGTGCCATGCGGCCTGCCCATGGAGGCGGCAGGAGGAGGAGGAGGAGGAGGAGTGCGGCGTGGATTACTATACTGGCAGTGGGTTAAGATGCTTACCAACTAATTGCCTTGCCACTAGAAAATCCCCTGCTGCACAGGCCGAAGGAGCAGGGGAGCCGCGGTGGACCGAAAATTGGAGACCTGAAGGGCTGAAACACAGAAATAGATCATATGGAGTTTTTTGTTTTGTTTTGTTTTGTTTCTACAGCCGGATACTTCTCTGTGGGAAAAAAAAAACTTTTTATTTTATTTTTGTGAGATGTTGACATGAAGATATGGAGTTGGTCTTTAAAAGGTAGGAGAAAAGTTTATAAAATAAAAGCAGCTTGTGATGTTCAACTTTAAAACTGTTAGGTGGTTTCAAAGAAGAGGGATTAAAGGATTCAATTGTTTTGTAAAGATGATTGAAGCTGCATGAAAATCTAATCTGTTGTTCTTCATCCTGACTTTCAGCTTCATCAGGTTCCATTAGCAGAAAGTAATCAGAGCCGCCAAACTATCAGGGTCGACTGAAAAACTCTCAACAACAACAGAACCTTCAGGAGGTTATGATTGATGCTCTCTCTCTCTCTCTCTCTCTCTCTCTCTCTCTCTCTCTCTCTCTCTCTCTC